CTTGCAAATTCTAGAATTTATCATTAGCCAAATCAATTATCTGCCTCCATTTTAGCATCCACTCTTTAGTTTCTTCTGTTTGATCAAGGCAAAGTGATCTCCACTCTTCTAAGACTTCATTTTGTTGATTAAGCCTCTGAACAAAGTTCTGTGCTGTCTCAGCTGCACTTCCTCTTACCCTGGCTAGTTCATTCACCTTCCTTTCCAATTGTCTTGTGAGCGTATTGATTTCTTGCTGCATCTCCTCGATAGGCCTGATGTCTTGTAATTCCTTCTTAATGCATCATTTTCCCTGACTATTTTGACAAGTCTTGCTTTAGTACTTTGAACTTTGTTGTCACTAGTTTGCACTTCCCTTTTCAGTTTGGCATTTTCCTTTTTCAATTTCTTAGTCTCAGGTGTTTCTTCAAGGTTATGCCCTTCTCTTTCATTTGCTAGCTTCCTCCGTAACTCAATGCATTCATTTTGGTATTTTTCCAATTCTTCCTTATTCTTGGACTTTGAGCTAACAAGCTCTTGTAACTCATTTTCCTTCATCTTCAAGCATTCAACCAGTTGCCCATTAATCTCTTCCAAGTCATTGCCTAATAAGGGATTTTGAGAATGGAATAAAGGATTTTCTCCTTGAATCATACTCTTCAGCCAAGTAGTATATTCTGGACTTGAGTTTACTACATGTATCCCTAGCTCAATCTTCCCTTTGTACCCTATCTTTTGCCATGCTTCTTTGACATTCTGGTTTGATAACTTTGTCCCATCCTCCTTATGTAGAAAGTATAACTCCTGCACCTCTTTCTTAGAAGGAACATTTTGCTTATAGGCCAGTTGCCTTAACGCTAAGGAAGGGTTATAGTTGATACACCCTCTGGGTCCCATTAAAGGCACATTCGGAAAGTCACCACAATGGTAAATAACCTCCTCTTTCCACCACCAGTCTAGTTTCCATAAGATGGAACTTTCTTTAAGTTCTGAAAAGGTTCTTTTCCAATCCATGTAGCTCATTCCGTCAATCACGAATTGACCCTTAAAAGACATGAGTGGATTACTGTTTGAGTCGTTCTTCTTTCTGAAAGGAAGCGTCTTTCCATAAAGGTGGCCAAGCATCCATAAATCCAGTAACGCAATACAACAATTGACCTTTCATTTCCTTTTATTATGACATTGAGTTAAGGTCAAGTACGTTTCTGCCTAGATTGCTGGTACCGGATTCACATTATGGTACTCCACCATTTGGAATACACTAATGGCTCCTAAATCAATTATGCCAATTGATGATGGAAACAAGATTATTCCATATATGCATAAGGCAAAGACTCTGCAAAACGTAACCCAAGCCTCTTTTTCTGCTAAAACTTTCAGGTGGGCTTCTACATCAACTCTTAAGATTCCCTCTGTTTGTCCTGGGCAAACCATTCGTACTTTTTCCTTAGGAATTTCCAAAATTTTCGCTATCGTGCCTCAAGATGGTAAATACCCAGGATAAAGATATACTACCATGTTCTCCTTAAGGGGCATTCTCAAAATTTCTCCATATTCTTCCGAAGTCGGGGCCATTTGGAAGTCTTGAAATGTGAAACATCTTAACGAGGCATCCCAATATTGGCTTAATTCCATTATTGCATCATTGTGTATTGTGACTGACAGAAGATCCAAGATATTTCCATATTTCCTTTTAAAATCTTGCATAATCCTCCCTTTGATATGATGGCTCAACTCAATTAAGGTTTCCAGCGGCTCAACTTTTACAAATAATTTGATCCCTTTTCCTTGATATAACTTTCCAGTGTGACTTAGATTTGTACTACCTTTGAGTGCCATTTATCCCTTATGCCAATTTCACAAAGATTCTGGATAACTCACGATTCCTGTTAATCAAAACAAAAGTTAATAATATACAATTCTCATAATTTTAGCAAGCTATTTGGCTCCTTTTTTTTTGAAAACCCTCTCCTCCAGATACTTATTGCATCATAGGGAGATGGAGTAAATAATTAATTGACGAGAGGCTTAAATCCCCTACATGATTAATGTTGAAAGGTTTAGCCTTACAATTTTATTTTTGAGAAAAGAGAAAAAAAATAAAAAAATAAAAAAATGATTTTGGTGATAGATATGCAAGGAGAAAATCCCTTCTCTCCTCAATGTGCTTATTGCCCCGTAGGGAGAAAGGGATTAATTAGCCTATGTGCAGCTAAAACTGACACATGGCTAAAGTCTCGACTTTAAAATGAAATAACTCAATGACAAGAGAAATTATTTAATTTGTGGTTTTTTTTATAAAAATAAATGCGAATACTTTATGATGACATGCTATGACAATGATGAAATAAAAGATCAATACTCTCATCCTGTGTCCTATTCAGGGAGACTTAAGTTCATAATCGGGTGTTCACTAGAATGGTTAGCTACTAGCTGTTGTCTGAAATGTGTAATTCACGGGTGGATGTATATTCCTAAAAGGCTCCCAAGATGCCCTCACCCGAAGGTGAAGACCTTACTTAATAATTTTAGCCCTCAGAGAACATAAGCTCTACAGGGACCAAATTTATTAGGCAAGTAACGGCTTGGGTGAGGTATTCATGGTAACCTCCGAGAGTTCAAAAACTCCACAGGGAAACCACTACTAACCTCTACTAACCTATGGTACTCACAGACCCGGGTATAGGGTCCAAAATATGTATGTGTCAAATTGTGTAAGTGTATAGTGAGTGATAAGAGCATGCAAGCATGTTATCTTATTCTCATATACTACCCAACCCTCAACTTTTTAATCAGATCAAACAGAGAAACAAATATATGTATAAATAAAAGTCATCTATCTTAAGGTTTATTCCGCATGTTATCTACCTTAAAAACATGTTATAAAATACAAAAGGAAAGAGAAAAGGGGAAAGGAGGAAGAAACAAGGGACACATAAATTTAAAGGGATAATAAAGGTAAACCATATTATATTTTGAGCACAACAGACTTATAGGCTTGACTCTTTAAGTTCCCCAGTGGAGTCGCCAACTGTCACACCCAGAAAAATGCGACGCGGACGGCGCGCGAGGGGAGGTCCCGACCTTCACGGCAGGAACCGGATCGAACGAGGAGTCGCTACCAATTAATGGAGGATAAGGGTGGTTTGTGAAAATAGAGAATAGGTTCGGGAGTCGGTTGAGTGTGGGAAAGGTGTTAGGTACCCCACAACACCCGTTCGTCAGAACGGTTACCTGAAGTTCGTTGTGCTTTTTTTTAATATGGTTTTATAATTATTTTAATTATCCCTTTTGTATTCATGTGTTTGATAAAAATGATAAGAATTAGGTGAGAAATATTTATTTATTTACGAGGGAGAACGGACTTGACTCAGAATTTGACTCTGAGGCCTACGTATCCTGTGATGGGGATCAAAGTCCACATAGTTCGGGCTTAAAAGTTTGTTGGTGAAAATATTTTTTGAAGAGAAATTAATTAGAAATAATTCACCATTTTACAAATAAAATAATTTCTGAAATTTTGATATGTGTGTTTTAAATTGTAAAAAGTAATTTAATTTTAATTATTTTCTCCATTTTTGAATTTTTGGAATAAAGAAAGAAAAGAGTTTAAGATTATTATTATTATTATTATTTATGTTTTATGATTGAGAATTTTAACTGCTATACTTGCAGAACCTTATTGGTTCATACAGCAATGCAATTGCTCTAAATATCTGGGGAGATTCTAAAATCTCACACGATAAAAGAGTTTGGGCCATTTAATTTATTTATTATATTATGTATATTTTTAAGTGTTAATAATAATAATTTCTTTTTTTTAGCATGTAGATACATGTTTTGAAGAATTTTAATCAACATACCTGCAAAGCCTTATTGACTTATACGGTAATATGATTATCCTAAATATTTACGGAGATTCTAAAATCTCACACGATAAAGGAATTAAAATTAAATACGTCTTTAATTAATTTAATATATAATTTATATATATATATATATATATTTTAAAACTTAATCGTTATATCTGCAGAGCCATATTGACTTATACGATAATGCGATTATCTTAGAAGTCTACAGAGATTCAAAAATCTCACATGATTAAAAGATATAATTGGTAAATATGGTTATAATTTAAATGCATTAATTAGGTTAATTAATTTTTTAAATTGTGTATTATATGATTATTTACAACGATCATTTATTTATTATAAAGATTCAAAGTCACTATATCTGTGAGGACTTATTATCCTACATGATAATGCGATTAATTTAAGTCCCTACAAAAATTCTCGTAATCTTACATGGAACTTACATAAATTTGTTTTTAGATTATGAAAAGATAGTTAATTTTTACGGTGGGTCATTAAAACCCTTGAGTGCTTTATATAAATTGGATCTCTATACCTGCGAAATCCTATTAATTTATACGATATGAGATCATTCTAGATGACTGCAGAAATTCTTAAAACTCTTTACGACAAATAAATAACAAACAAATATATACTCTCTTATTTTTTGTTGGATTTCAATTATGAAGTTCAAAATAGCTAAAAATGGAACTCTCTTCTAGCAACATAATGAGCATACAAATAAAGAAGGGATGTTATAAACAAACAAAAGCCTCTGCTGGTACAAGGGTCAAAGCCATGACACCACCCATTTATATCCCCTTTCATACTATAACATATTTAAAATCCAATTCTAAAATTTAGCTTAATGACCACAGAAAACATTTTTTTATATCGTTTGAGGAAAAGTTATAATCAGAATATGCCTATAATTATATCAGGCTAGCAAGCAAAACTTTATTTATAATTTCTCCATCCCTCTTCTCCACTTTTTTTTTAAAATCACTTTATTTTTTTTTTGTCAAAACATCACAAAGATCATGTCAAAATTAAATTATTCATGGCAACTAGATAAGAGAGTATGGGAAAGAAAATCACTACGTGACCAAAATCTGCACAATAGATAACAAAACATTTACCGTTTGAATCAGAAGAACTCTGTCTCTCCGTCTCTTCCTGGTTTCCTTCCTTCTCTCGATTTCTTTGTTTTTTAGAAAGCTCGAACTCTCCTCCTTCTTTCTCGGACGTCTCTGTTTCTTCTCCCTTGGTTTCTATTTTTTCTGCTTATGGATGACAGTCTCTGTTTTTTTCGAGCTCTCTCTTCTCCGTCCGTCTCCTCAGCTTGCCAGAATGGCTCCTTCTCTTTTAGTCCCTGTTTCACGTCCTTCGGTCCTCTCCTTCTCAGTTTCCTCCAGCCAGAACAGCTCCTTCTCCCTCTTAGCTTTTCCAGAAAAAAGAAGCTCCTCCGTCACCTCCTCTCTTGTCTCTGTTTTTTTTTGAACTCTCCTCGGTCTCCTTTTCCTCTCCTCTTATGTTCTTTCGTGCTCTATTTTCTGCATTTTTGTCCTTGTTTCTTCTATCTTTTTCTCCAGCAAGTCAGTTCCTTCCTCCTCAGCCTCTTTCTCACGTCTTTCGGTCTATCTTTCTCTGTTTCCATGTTCTTCGATCCTCTCTTCCCAGTCACCGTCCTCAGGTTTTTTTTCTTCTTTTCTTGCTCTCTTTTTCAACGTTTTCGTCCCCCCTCCTCTCTCCTAGTATGAACATCCTTTTATACTCTCAGTCTTTCCCTCTTGGCTTCCTCTCTCTCTCCTTTTCTGCTGCTCTTTCTCTGCTATGTTTCTCTAGCGTCTTTCCCGTGCATGGGTGGCTGCATTTTGCTTTTTTCTGCTACTGTCTTTGTGTGTGCTCGCTGCTCTGTCTCCTTTTGTATTCGTGTGCACTTTTTCTGTTTTCTTTTCGTGTGCTGTAACGTGCATATCTGATTTTACGTCTCTGGCTCTGTTTTTTCTTTCTGCTGGCAAAAAAGTGTATGTATATGTGTTCTGGTTGCTTGCTGCGTTTTTTTTCTGTGAAGCTCTTTTCTGCAACCTGTGTTTTTGTGTTTCTGCTTCTTCTGTATTTTGCTCATGTGTGCTTGGTGCTTTCGGCGTTTATAGCTCAGGTTGCTTCATCCCTTTGTGCTGACTATGTTCGTGTGTTTCGTGTATGTGCGAGATTGCTTTGTGCTCTCTGCTGTTCTTGCTTTCTTTTTGATCTGTTTATGTCTAACCGAGAGTGGAGAGATTTTGGATTATTATATATATTTTTTTGTCTTTTTTTTAACTAAAAGAATTAAAATCCTAGTCAATAAAAAATTATCTAAAATAAAATTAAATCCTATCAATTAAATTAAATTTTTTTTAAAACATAATCCTAAAAAAGATTAAATTTTATTTTTATATTTTTATATTTTTTAGTTATTTATTATTATTATTTTATTAAATTTAAAATGTCCGGACAAAATACGGTGTTCACAATTATTATATTATTTTATTTATTAAAAACCATCTTACATTTTTAATCATATCCTTACTTATTAAATAAAAATGAGTGACGATTTGTGAAAATACTTTTTTCCAATTTAAAGGATAAAATTGAAATAAAAGAGTAATGCATTAATATAGTTGTCACTGACTGATTTTAGACGGCAGATGAATATCTGATAATCAAATGATGCTTGCGGGAATTCATTTTAACTTTTAGAAGTCAACGAGTTATGGTCTCTTTCTCTATTTATCAGTATACCCTCCGTAGCTAATTAGCTCCATCATCTGATATCTCCCACGGCCTCTCAAGATATTCGACTACAATTGCTTGCTTTCACTGAGAAAAAATGGCAGAACAAATTCCTTATGGTGTAATTGTGAATCTCATTGGCAGGTTGAGTTCATCAGCCTTCAGAGAGATTTCAAGGATTTATGGCGTCAAGAGTGAGATACAGAGACTTCAAGACACTGTTGGAACTGTTGAAGCTGTGCTTGTTGATGCTGAGCAAAGGCAGCAGAACGACAAGCTTGTCAAGCTGTGGATAAGGAGGCTCAAACAAGTTCTCTACAAAGCAGACGATTTGCTTGATGAACTCTATACTGAAGATTTGTTGCTCAAAAGAGATGGAAAAGGAAAGGTAGATGTCTTCTTTTCATCCGTAAATCCTATTGCTTTTCGTGTCAAAGTTGCTGATAACATTAAAAAGATAAGAGATGAATTCAATGCTATTGCTGAAGATGTGTCTAAGTTGAAATTAGTTAGGCGAGTTGCAGAAACGAGGCATAATGAGATCAATTATCAGAGGGAAACTAGTTCTTTTATGCAAGAGGATATCATTGGGAGGGAGGAAAGCAAGAAGGAAATAATTGATTTATTGTTAAATACCAATAGCAATGAAAATGTTTCTTTCATTGCTATTGTTGGCATTGGGGGTTTAGGAAAGACTACAGTTGCTCAATTGGTGTACAATGATGTTGAAGTGAAAAACTTTTTCAAAAAACAAATGTGGGTATGTATTTTTGAAGAGTTTGATGTTAAGACACTTGTTAAAAAAATATTAGAATTATCCGTGGGCAGCAAAGTGGATGACCAGCAGTTAGAACTACTTCAAAATAAGCTTCAAGAGAATTTGAATGGCCAAAAGTATTTGTTAATCTTAGACGATGTGTGGAATCAGGATCATCAGAAGTGGTTAGATTTAAAAAAGTATTTGAAGTGTGGTGCTAAAGGTAGTAAGATTATAGTGACTACTCGTGACCAGATGGTAGCAAGAAGCATGGGTGTAAAAACCCCATATGCTTTGAAATATCTGACAAATGACCAATCTTAGAATTTGCTTAAAAGATTGACATTTGGGCAGGACACAATATTGTCCCACAACATAGAGTCCATTGGTCCAAAAATTGTGGACAAATTTGGAGGAATTCCACTAGCAATAAGAGCCATGGGAAGCTTGTTGCAATCGAAATTAGAGGATGTTGATTGGGAAGCCATCTTAGAAGATGATTTTTGGATGTTATCAGAAAGTAATAAGCCAGTAATATCAATACTAAAATTAAGCTATGATCACTTGTCAAGTGAAGTAAGATAATGTTTTGCTTATTGTTCTTTGTATCCAAAAGATTGGATATATAATAAAAATGACTTGATTAAACAATGGATGGCGCAAGGGTACCTTAAACGTCAAGATAAAAAAGAACATCCAGAAGATGTTGGTGAACGATATGTTAGTATTTTGTTAATGAGATCATTCTTTCAAGATGTCCAAATGAATGAATCTGGTGAAATACAATGTTTTAAAATGCATGATTTGATGCATGATCTCTCACAATCGGTTGGTGGCTCTGATTTTTTCTTTGATAATGAGGAGAGAAAATCTGTTGCAAGGCCTATGCATGTTAACTTTTCTTATAACTCTTCCCATTGTTCATTAGACTTATTAGATGCAAGTAGATTGTGAACTATGCTTGGGGTACGAGAAGTATCAGATGATGGTCCATCCAATTTGTTGAAGTTCAATTATCTGCGCAGTCTCAGTTTGTTAATTTGGGATATGAGAGTTTTGCCAAAGTCAATAGAAAAATGAAGCATTTAAGGTATCTTGATCTTTCTGATTGTCCCAATTTGAAGAGTTTGCCTCCAAGTGTAAGCAACCTAGTAAATTTGCAAACATTGAAGTTGAATGGTTGTGTTGCTCTTGAATTTTCTGTAGATGTTGTTACAAAGTTAATCAACTTGCGTCATCTTCACATTGAAAACTGTTATGCCTTTAGAAATGGGATGCCAATTGGCTTGGGCAGATTAACAACTTTGCAAAGTTTATCATATTTCACAGTGGTGATGATGATGCTGATAAGGAGAGAAAGAATGCTCAATTGAATGAATTAAAAGGACTCAAGCTCAGAGATGAACTAGTTATTGAGAAGCTCAATTCAGTAAGGAATGTTGAAGTAGACTCCAAGGATGTTAATTTGAAAGGAAAGAAAAACCTTAAGTCTTTGACTCTCAATTGGAAAGATGATATTGGAGTGGTGAAAAATAGTGATAGCTTGCAATTATTTGAAAACCTTTGTCCTCATTCAAATTTGAAAAAATTGGAAGTAAAATGCTACCCAGGGGTGAGGTTTTCAGGCTGGCTTTTGTCCCTTTCTAATCTTGTCGACTTGAATATATCTGATTGTGGGAATTGTCAATTCTTGCCAACGTTGGAAGGACTCGTTTCTCTCAAGTCTCTTCATATACGGAACATGAAAGCTTTAGAGTACATATGTTATGAAGATTGTTCATCATCAATGGCTTCACATCGTACAACTAGCTTCTTCCCATCTTTGGAGAAATTAAAATTTCTTGGGTGTGAAAATTTGAGAGGATGGCAAAGAAAGGCTGAAGTAAATAATAGAACAGATGATGAGAATCATCATTCATTGCCTCCATTTCTATGTCTTTCATATTTATCAATTGAGAAATGCCCAAACTTGAGTTGCGTGCCTACATTTCCAAATCTTGTTGAGGGCTTGGATTTGAGCAACTGTAGCATGAAGCCATTGATGGACACATTACATATGAGCACAGCTCGATCACCCAAAGAAGAAGAATTATCATTACGCCCATCTCTATCCATGCTTGAGGATCTAGACATTGATGACATGGGCATAGAAGCTTTACCAGAGAAGTGGATGCAAAATCTCACCTCTCTGAAGAATCTTTCTATTTCATTCTTATCAAGTCAAGGAATTGTGCTTCATCATATGAAACATCTGCCTGCTTCCTTGAAGAATTCAGTACCTGGAACATGGACAACTTTGATTTACAAGGTTGTAGTGATGGCGAGGATTTTAGCACAGAGTTCCAAGACCTTCATTGCCTCCATTCACTTCAAGGTTTTTGTATTTACTCATGTGAAAATCTCAAAGCTTTACCAGAATGGATCTGCAATCTCCAATCACTTCGATTTATTGATATTCTGGGATGTCAAAATTTGGAGTCATTGCCTGAAGGTATGCATCGTCTTTAATTTGCATACATCGTCTTAGTCTCCATAGGCAGCTGCTTTTTAGCAGAAAATGTGAAAGAGGAAGAGGTTCAGAATGGCCCAAAATTTCTATATAGGGTGGATTGGCGTCCAATCCTAGCTAATTCTTCATCTCATCCATATGAAAATCCAGAGGTAACAGATTACATTATCATGTTGTTTTCCTTTTTGTTCCAAAGGAAATTAATGTTTTTGATGAAAAAAAAATCTCCTAACCATAATCCAGTATCGAAAGAAATTTCAAATGAGTCAATAATAAATAAGTCAAAGTTGGAAAGATTTTCATTGACTTTAATATATAATGTTTTCCATATGAATGCAGATTTCAAATGAGTCAATGATCACCTAAGCTTCTAAGTATTTTTTGTGTGTGTTGCAATTTAAGAAATATAACCTAGAGAAGAAATTCAATAATTTAGACTGCATCTAGTTCTGGATGCGTAATAGTCGACATGGACGTTTAACTTTATATCAAAGCTTTTTTCTTGTAACTCTGAAATCCAAAGGTTTATAAATTATCATGTCTCTTATTCTTAATTGTTTTCCTTGACATGTTTGGTTGTGAGAACCCTTTTGCTGGGATTGGAGCCAAGGAGATATAGCTAAATTATCGATAACCAACTGCTTGAATATGTATTTTTATTTGGTTGACGTTCTGATTGATCCATATGAGATGTTACATCTGTTCTGTTTGCCCGA